TCAATGGCAGTGTGTGCCGAAAGACACTGAAGGCCCTGGCCAGTCAGGGTCCAGGTGCTGTTCTGGTGTTTGGCAGCTTTCTGCTTGTGCTTGACTAAGCTTTCTTCTCCAAACTGATTCTGCAGTTTTATCCAGTTTTCACAAGAAAACCTCTTCTCATTTGAAAATCCGGCGTTGTTACAAGAAAAACACGAGAACAGAGTGGATTTTCTGTTGATTGAAAGGTCATGCATGTTTTAGTTTTAGTTGATCCACAAAGTTAACATCAGAAACCAGAGTTGGACAGGTGTTTGAGAGAAGCACAAATGAGTTTTAATACATATTTTTGAAACTTAAAGTTTTGTACAGTGTCACTTTTGCATCAGATAGTTATTTTCATTGATGTCTTACGGTTATTGTATTGAAACAATTTATAATATGTTACAACACGTTCGTAAAAAAAAAAAGGTTGTTCAGTGTACCCTGTTAATGCAACTATTTAATGCAAAAGTAACTCCAAGTCCAAACAAAGCACTTGCTTGAACAGCTATAAAAATGTGTTCTTGTTCACACAGAAGGAAAGCAGATGTAGGATTTTGGTTATGTTTTTGTATTACAGACTCTGCAATAATCATTGGACTCTGTTTTTGCTTGTTTCTATCCACAGTATTCCTGATTTCACGCCACTACCCATAATTCATAGCGGAAGCACTGTTATCTTTTTCCGGTTGTGGTGTTGTTTACAATTAGGGGCATAGACCTTCCCTGTTTATCAAAGCATTTTTCTTTTAAATTTGGAGTAGATGGCCACATATCAGACAGAGGTTTATATACTGTAAGGATGTTTTTAAAAGCAGCAAGGACAATTCTTTATCAATGGCTCAGCTTTCACTGCTCACAGACTGATGAAGCTATGTCCCGATGTTAGCTAATAGCTACTACTGACATCAACTACCTCATCTTTCCCCGAAGACACACACATGCAAAATCATAAATGTCAACCGTTCTGGAAGTAAAATGTTCAGAAGCCCCTCATAATTGTAATAATATTATAAAAGTTTTGGTTTCTTCCCCTTATTCTAAACATAAAATTCACTGGGTGCTAGTTCGTTAGTAACTTTTAGAGATGAACTGGAGGGTTTCATACAGCTGCCGTCATTTTAAATAAATGTYAAACAAAAATAAATAAACTGCCTCAAATACCAGACACTTTTATAGCCCCTGGGCGATGCTAAGCTTGTCTTCTAAACGGTTGAGGCCCCACCTCCTCAGTATAAAGAACCRTCACAGATGTTGTGTAATGGACAGCTCATTTCWTAACAAGCCTTCCAATAGGGCAATGGGTGGAGTGTTGGACCAGAGAGTGGGAGACCATGGTTCGAGACCGAGGCAGACACAAACAATTTAATTATTTATTTTCGTTGGTTATGAACATGTTTTCTTATGTACCTCTATTGTTTAGCTTTTAGCTAAACAGTATTTTTATTGTTTAGCCTATTTGTTTGAGTTTCTGAGGTATTTTGACCGCTGCTGCTCCAATTACCTGCCCTGGTAACAGCATGCAGAGTGAGCGCAGAGGAAGGGGAGAAAAAAAGACAGGAGGAGGGGGAGAAAAAAAAGCTGTGACCGACTCTGCCTCTGGGTCTCACTCAGGGTCTCATATATACAGTTGTACGACAGAGCTTCTGCTATTATTAGCCATGCTAACGTAAACGCTGGCTTTGGAGGGCGGAGTTAATGTCAACAGATTTTTGGAGGGCGTTACCAACAGAGCTCATTAACATAAACAGCTTGTTCTGAACGGAAATCAGAGCAGGCAGAACTAGAAAATGGGAAATTTTATTATCTGAGAATTATTTTGTGCATTAAAACATGGTCTGGATAGTCCACAGACATACCATAAAAATTTCCAGGACCCATAATTGGTCTCCTTTAAATTAGGCCATTTATATAGTTTTGCCAGCATGCGGCTTCTAACCATAGGCAAAATATTTCTTTAAAGTYAAGATTAGTTGCAAATAATATGCTAAACAACCAGGCTAACAGTAGTTAGCGCTGATGCTAATGCCATTCACCAGTGGCTTTCATTCAGTAAAAGCAAAGAACTGCGCAATTAAACAGCAACAGGGGAAACACAACATTTAGAGTTTAACTCACCAGCTACAGATTCAGTGTTTTAATTGATATTGCTGGAAGCTGTCTGACTCACAGTGGTTCAGACGAGACGCCTTCAGCAGCAAGCCTTAGCCCAGATAGTGGTCTGGATCGGAGTGAATATGATCTCCATGGGAATTTTTGTCGATAAAATGAAAAAAGCAAGCAAACTCTCTTTGATTGGTTTTTCAGATTTAAAGCTGCCAGCCATGTTGGTTTACGATCCGCCTTCGTCGGCATAAAGTGCATTTTGTAGGACGCTAGGCCTTACTACGTCTTGTTTCAGCCAAAATGTTTATAAAGCATTTCTCAGTTTTCTTCAGTTGTTGTGCAGCCGACAAATAAACAAGACRAACACAAACTCATGATTGAACTGWTCAAGCTGCCAGTTAAAGCAAAAACAAACTAAATTTATTGTTATCATAACTATCTGAATGAATGAATTTCTTGTGCACCGGAAAAAGCGAACAGTGGGGGAGGGCTGTGGGCGGGGCTAGTGTCTGTCATGGCAGCCTACATAAGCTTCTCAGGAAACTTGTGGATAATGTGACTCATCATTTCTGCATGGTGACTGCTTTAAATTAACATTTCGGGGGGTATAGTTTGTGCGTATTCCTTCTTTTAACCTTGTACTCTGATGGCTTTGATATGAAAGGTTGCAATAAAAGTATTTGCATAGTGATGTGTTCTTGTTTTGAAAATCTTAGCKTACATATTTTTCCAGTATTTTTTTAAAGCAGTTTCATTGTGCTAAACTAAAGAGGTGAATTCAACATTAATTTGCTTTGGGTTAGCCCGAGCTACTTTAAATATTAACACTGCATAGTTGCCCTTTATGTTGATGTTAAAGGTGCAATATGCACAAAAGTTCAAATTCTCAGTTGCCAAGACAGATTTCTGTCATTTTGAACGTGACCAGGAAGGATTCCAATCATCTGTAAAAATGAGAAAGAGAAACAACATGTTGTTTTTTGTTGTGGCTTTGTTAAAGCCACCCAGTGTTGTTATGATACAGGATTAAACCGAGACTGCTTTGAACAAATAAAGCAAACCAAAGCTACGCCTCTAACTGAGAGGAGACGTCATTACTGCAATCATTTTTTCTTTGTGTCATATTGCATAGCCAAGGAAGTAGGAGGCTACAGAGCTGCACCCACTCACAGTAGCTATCTGTCTGTGGGAAGGTGGAGTAGCCTAAGAGACAGAGGGGGTCCAACCACCCAGTTCCTCTCATCATAAGATGCAACGTTAACCTTTTTCAGTTTAAAGCTTTTATACAATAAACAAAAACAACTCCATTTTGCATGTTTTGCTAAGTGAGTTTCATGTTGTCTTCCCCTTTGGGAATCAAACCATGCTATGCGGTAATTATATGCATGTTTGTTTTGGTATTTTGGGGGCTGGAGACAGACAAGCAACATTCACATTAGAGCCAGACCATTCCTTAACGCCTACACATTGACCCCAAGCAAAATATTTCACAWATTCAAGTTGAATATTTGATTGACAGTTGTGTTCATTGAAGCAATTTCTTTTATAGTGATGAGTCTATATATAATAGTTGAAAGTTTTGAGTGTCACATAAGATGTTTTGGCTGTTATGACATGGAAATTGTTGGTGTAAACTACAAAGTTTGTGATGTTTAAATAATTTATGAATACATGTGAGCAATAACAGTTGTGGTTTCAAACACACAACATATAATGGGAGCAAAAACGTTTCAAATCAAAAGTTTCAACAGTATTTTTGTTGAGGTAAATTATGTCAGGATCACAATAATTAGACTTAAGTACTGCAGTCAAAACAGTTATTGGTTATCTCTTGTGAACCAGTGTCCATGGGAGAGAATGAGATGTATAAGATTCAGATTTGTGTTGTAACTGCACTCTGCGACCTGCTATCTTTTATTCAACTTTCCTTGTCTTTTTGTGATCGCATGCATTCAAGTGTGTGTACTGTACTGTACTCTATAGCTGCTTGATACAGACTACATTTGGGCCAGTGATGCATTAGCCATGGCCAGAGATGGGTTGGTATGGAATAAATAATGGATACCATCCTTTTCCTCTGAATAAATCAAGACTAGATAAAACAGAGAGAGAAGAGAGATTAAATATGGGGGAGAGTAGAAGTTGAATGCCAGAGAGAAATAGAAGATTTGTCTAACTCAGGGGTGCCCAAACATTTTCCCTGAGAGGGCCAAAATGAAAATCTATCCAGGGCTGTGGGCCAAATGCAGTAAAATAATACATGAAATATGAATACTTTTCAAGTAAAGTCCTTTATTTTTAACGATTACACTATGCAATGGCCCTATTTTGTTTTAGTCTGTGCACTTGGAGAAAGTCTGCCATACTCTCAAGGAGCAAAGGCTCATGGGATATTTCATAAATTGATAAAATATGAGTTTTTGTGGCCTTATAAAGTGTGCAAATCTACACGTGGGGTTAAATCTGATCTAAATATTTATTGTTGTCATTTCATGTTTCATGTTTAATCCTAATAAATCAAAGCTAAAGTCAGCAGCATGAATGAAAACTACCTTCACTACAGCCCTTTTATATAGTCATTTGACCAATGGAAATACTGTGTTTCTACATAGTATAACAGGTTACAACCTTTTAACTTTGGCAACTGTTGGTGGGCCAAATCAAATGGCTTGGCGGGCCAACTTTGGCCCGCAGGCCCCACTTTGGGCTCCTCTGGTCTAACTGGAAGAGGGATATAGAAGCAGAATCAGTATTTTAAATTCTAAATGGGTGTCTCATTTCACCTTTTCTTGTTTTATTAATTGGCGTTTTGTATAAAAAAGACAACTGGAATGTGTCCATGGCTCATGTTTTGCCTTCTTTTGTTTTTCCATCAGGGAAAGGGCCAGACTTTCACCTTCCCTGACATCTTCCCCAAAAAAGACCAGACACCAGTGCCGGGCTCCGCAGAAGACCTTCACAAAAAGTTCATGGAGAGTGAAAAACAGAGGCTGAAACCCGACCCTAGGAAAGGAGGGGTCACCGATTGGTTTGGACTCTAAAGTGTCATCAAAGCTGGGAAGTCAGACCTCATATATGTGCCTGGGTGTTGCACTGGGAACAACATGTATTGATTTGAAATGCAACTCTTGTGATGTCACTCCTTTAAGACACACAAGTGTGTAGAGAAGAAGAGTGTGTGGGAGGCTGCAGACGTGTTTAACGTGTTTGCAAGGCTTCAGTCCAGTAAACAGACACAGAAAAGAATTGGTAAAGGAGGAGAGTGGCCAGGCTCCATCTTTAATGAAATCAGCGTACCACACACATCTCCATCACCTCAAATGACCTATACTTCTTCCTCATCAGTCTTCTCTGCCATCTCTTTTTCAGTTCACTCCTCCTATTTTTCTCTCCCCCATCCCCCCATTTTTTGGATGTTTCCCATGTGTCTATATCATCTGTTTTCCCTCCATCTTTTCATTTCTCTGGTTGGACACCTTATATGTATGGAGTACCAAAAATCCCGACTCCCAGCTAGTTGGACTTAACTACCTGTACTGCCCACATCATTTCCTCTTTTATGAGTTTGCCTTGGATTAATTGACCACTTTGTGTAAACAACAATTGAGATGTTGTTTCAGCAAGAACATGGAATTTRCTGTGGTGTAATAGTATATCAGTGTATTTTGTGGTAGCTTGCAATGCCATAACTATGGTAGGAGTCTTTACCCGATGTTTGTGTCTGTACTACTGCCCAGCATGTAAGACTTTCCAGTAAATTGGTGTTATAGTGAAAGCTGTTTTAATAAGAACTAATAAATGGTCAGTTTTCCAAAAGTACTTTGCTTATTGTTTTTAATACTGTCTTTCCCTCATCTCTCACTGGGAAACTGACACTTTAAGATGCTTTCTGCCACACAAGCTGGCTTGTGCAAGGGCCAGTGTGGTCTGGTAGATGTTTTGACAAAGTAATGATCTGTGTTTGACTCAGGACAGTGGAGGACTGAGTTCCCTTACCGTAATAAAGCCCATAAAGCAAAGGGTGGGGGAGACCTTTCTTGGGCTTGCTCTGGCCCTCCATTATCCTGACAGGCCAAAGTTACAGTAAGTGTCCCCCAGCCGTGACCACTAATGCTGGCAGGCTTAAAGAAAGGTTCAGTCCCTGACCTCACCCAGCCAACTCATCTATCACTAAGGAGAATGTCAATATTGATCTTGTTGGCCCATTGTCTGCTGCCTGGAACAACTTGCCCCCTGCATTGCTTTAAAGCAATGTGATTTGGAACAAAACAAGCCTCTAGGTATACGCAGTCACTCCATTTCTTTTTATTTTTCCMAACTTTTTCACTTTTTGCTTTCCTCCTTTCCCTGCTGCATTTCTTGCTGTTGCCCAGTCTGCACCTCTGAGAAACAGCAGAATAACTAAAAGGGACACCAAATTCCTTTTGTGTCTCGCCTCTTGGCCCAAACAGATCCCTCATGAAAGTTTGGTAATGAACTTCTGGTGTTTGCCAAGCCACAATCTTTCCCTGTCGTCCTCTTATTCTTTGTAATGGGGATACCCTGTTCCTCCAAAACTATTTTACACGTACATGTGTATGCTTCACACAACTGCTTCACATAAAACTAGGGTTTGCCGTGTTTTGGATGCCCCTCCCCCCCCYTTTTTTTTGTTTTTGTTTTTCTTTTTTTAGAGCTCAGAACATATTGAGACACTCAGGTTTMATGAGTTCATTTTTTCCTCTCACAGATAAATCCTTTTGTCATTTTAGGTATGCACCAAAAATTAAACAAAAACAAACTTATGAACAGAGAAACTTAACAAAAACTAAATATATATATATATATATTGGGGGGGAAAACAACAACACATTGAAGTAGAAAAATAAGACATTCTGTTTTACTATTCAACTGACTATGTTTAGAAACMTTTAAGGTATTATTTAGTTTATGTGTAATAATTATAAAGAGAGTATAGTTTTAATTATTAAAACCAATAAAATGTTTTATAGACTTTAGTCTAAATGGGTATATCTAATGGAAAYACACAGAAAAGATAACAGGCTCAAAATGATTTAGGAAGTTTTTAAGGGAATTTACTTCAAAGACTCCCACACATATGGGAAACAGATTATATTGATGCAAACCCACATGTCATCCAATGGTTTTCCATCTCAGGACTTTCTAACTGGAAGATTACAAAATATCTGACAAACTATGCATATTTCTCGGTAGTCCTTTTAGTTGTTTTAAAATGTTCTCATAATCACTTTAACTTCTCAGTCCGGTAATTGCCTTCTGTTTTAAACATGCTTTTTAATTGGATACAGATGGTCATTTTCTTAAATTAGTTATGTTATTCCTGTGAATGAATAATTATTTTTCCCAGATGGAATAAAGGAGATCGACAGCTGTTTGAATAGGTAAATTAATTAGTTTGACAGATGACTGATGGTGAAAGATTTACTAGAGGTTTACCAGTCAGTTCCACTCGTTTTCAGACTGACTCACCAATATGAAATTCAAAAATCTGATTTTCTTCTTGGTCAGCTAAGCACTTGTCRAAATTCTGTTTGTCCTGATCTTTGAATGCTATGACTTGACTAAGCTTATAATGCCTGTATTACATAGGTCCAGGTACATAGGTCTATTAAGTTCCCAGGCTTCTAGTAGAGGCCAGAGCTTAAAGTGAAGCATATGGAAAAAACAGGGTGAGCTGCATATATACATATATATATGCAGCACACTATTATTTAAAAAAAATCAATCRAAACTGGAATTTGCAGGTCAAAGCTGCTCAGAAATCAGAATTGACCGGAATTTAAAAATCAGATGTGACTAGATTTCTGATTGTTTCAATGCACTGCATTCCTCTATGTCTTCCCTCACCGCCTCTGTCTTCATAACCAATAAAACCCAGCAAGAACATTGCAAATAAGAGTTGGCTCACAGCTGGCAGCCATTTCCTTGTTTATAGTGGGKTTTTTTTTTCTTGTCTGTCAAAAAGATGCAGTGTAGTGGAAGTGTGAAGAAAATGCTGGATGGAGGTCTGTGGTAAATCAACTGAGCAAGCCACGTACTTCCTCTTTCTACTGAACTCAAAGTGACTACAGGCAGCTCCAGATTTATAGAGATCTATGAATGCAGAACAAGATACATCACATATAACGCACCGCGTGTTGCTCAGCTGCAGCGGGAGGGGAGGTCCAGCATGTGCGTGCAAGGTCCGGCGAGCTCGGAAAGGCCAAAGGGAGAAAGTGAAGATGGAAAATGGAGTGAAAAAGATGACATCATTAAGAAAATGCTGAGCTGGATTTAAGGGCTACTGGATAAAACAGGTTTGATCCCACAGTACGCCCCCCCCCCCACCCCCTTCTCTTCATCCTTTCGTTCTCTCTCTTGAGATGTACAGTGCAGGCTGTGTTCTCATCCCTACATGGTGAGTTAATGGAAGGGGGTTGAATATTTTAAACAACTCTTCACTCTCCTTCCCCGTCGTGCTCTTCTGTTTCCCTTTTTTTTTCTTGTTCAGCTGTGCATTAGTCAAGTGCACACATGACCCTGTTTCTGCCACTGCAGTCCACATTTGGAACCTGGATGACATCATCCTGTATTTTTAGAAAAAGCGGTGATACAGTGAGTGTCCTCCCTGCTTTTATGTACCTTCCCATCTCTCCTTGATGGGTATAATGCCAGCCCACTCCAAAGGTAAATCTTCAGCTGAAGATGCTCTGATGAATCCTGCAACTATTTTGAGCTGTAGCTTTGAGTCATCTTTCTTGAGCCTGTGGTGTGAAGTGATGGCCATGCTTTACTGCATGCAGGGCAGCAGGAAAATTTCATATCGGCCACACTGCAGCTTTGATTAACAATAAATGGTGGCTAAAGYTGAGCATATTTGATTACCAGCATTCTGCAAAAGTTCCACATACTCATGCAGTTAGATACTACCAGCACTAGCCTTCTTGTGCAGATGCACAGACTCCCACACACACACACTTATGTTCACTAAGACAACCGGGATTGCCTGCTGAGGATTCTGACGGCCTCTCTTGGACCTGTGCCATACACATTCCTCCTTCCCCAGGTTGTTGTTGGTTCATCTGAGCGCAGCCAGTGCACTCCATCACCCCATAAGTGTGTGCATCCATATGTGCATGTGTGTGTGCGTGCCTGTTCCTGTGCAGGTCTAGGTACCATATGCACATTTAAAAAGGAAAAGCTCAGTTTTTGTATTCACACGGACATGCATGTAAGAAAGACTATGTTCGTGGCTTCTGGTAAGCCACTCACCCATGCAGAAAATGTGCTCTGATATGGCCACTCTTTGCTTTAAAGGGATCCCTGATTAGTTGCAACATAAGACTTTATTTGATAAACATGTATTTCAATTTTAATATAAAGACTAAAATACTGTAGGCTGTTTAGTTTTGTAAATTTTTAAAAATATATTTTAACATGGATGGAGCCATTTTATTTACACACAAAGCATTCTGGGTAAATGATGACGTGGATAGGTCCTCTGTGTGAGCGAGCTATATCCACCCTGAAGGTTAATCTTGAACAATATCTGACGATCGACTCTTTTAAATGAAACCAGAGAGCGTTGACAGAGAGGAGAAGGTAGAAATGACTCAGCCTGTAACTGAAAATATGGATGGAGGTCAACAGAGCTGCTTCATGGAAGAAGAACCTCAGCTTAGCCTGTTAGCCTTTGCACTAGCGCTGACACTGTCTTGCCTTATATGTATTAGCTCTACGCTAGCGCGACAAACAAGCCAAACTGAGGTCCTCCGTCCATATTTTCAGTTTCAGGGAGTCAGCATTCCCCTCTCTGTCATGTGGATGGAGGACCTCAGTGACGAGAGGAGTATGTGTAACGCTGAGCTAATACATATATATGGTGATAGCATCAGAGCTAACGCTAAAGCTAACAGGCTAAGCTGAGGTTCTTCCTTGAAGCAGCTCTGTTGTCCTCCATCTATATTTTCAGTTACAGTTGATTCATTTCTACCTTCTCCTCTCTGTCAACGCTCTCTGGTTTCATTTAAAAGAGCCAATCGTCAGATATTGTCCAAGATTAACCTTCAGGGTGGATATAACTCGCTAGCAGCCTCGCACCAAGGACCTATCAATGTCATCATTTACCCAGAATGCTTTGCGTGTTAATAAAGTGGCCCCGTCCCTGTAATACATTTTTAAATTTTTAGTTTAAAAATTATAAAAACTAAACATCCTACAGTATTTTTACCATCTTTATTTTACAGTTAAAATATATGTTTATCAAATAAAGTCTAATGTTACAACTAATCATGGATCTCTTTAAGGTCTCTACTGTAATCACTTCTGTGTGCTTGTTGGCTTGGAGCCAGGAGCAACAACCCAAGCGGCTCACAGTAGAAAACATTTCAGCAAATGTTGCTTGGTTGAAGAGAAAATTAATATGCAACATAGAGTATAACAACAATTATATTAAATATAAAATATTTAGGAAGTARCATTACTAATCATTCTATTTATTTTCATTTATTTACTTTACCTGAATCATCTTTTGTAAACAAAAACCAAGTTTTTACTTGACATTGCAGAAAAATGTTAACTGCCACAAAAATGTTTTGGTATTTTTTTAAACTAAACTCGCCAGATAACTAAATGAAGTAAGATGAGTAACTTAGTAAAATTTTGAAGCAGTTTACAAAAAGGCTTCAAAAAACATTTTAAGTTGGTATTTCAACACTTATTTTTTCAAACATGCACATTTAATAAACTTTACCTGCTATTGGTTAGTGTTTGTGAACATCTGTGTGTGCATTTGCGTGTAGTTCATCTGCATTCATGCT